GACGGCGTTGATGGCGTTGATGCCGAAAATGTGGCAGCACGAAAATTGAACAAAACAAAAAAGTAACAGAAATTCACACGAAATTGTTGAAATAATAAAAGATACATTAAATTTTAACAAATTCAGCAATGTGAATTAATTGAACATGAATTGCCTACAAATGTGAAAAAGTGAATATTAAGAATGCATTAATTCTCAAGTCTCGCATAAATTTACACATTATTGGCCTCTATAGTTAGTTGCTACAACAATTGAATTTAATTAATTAATTTTATAGTTAATAAGCTAGACTTTGTACTTTTGGGTTAATTGAACAATTTAAGTACTCTTTTATGAAATTTAATCACTTGTCATTGCGAAGTCAGTACTCGATCATTTTAAAATCTGACATAATTCAGCAGGATGTTCTCTAATTATATATATTTTTGTCTGTAATTGTATCGTACGCTACTCTGAGTAATTTTTTATATGTCTCTTTTATCATCTCTCTTCATTTTCATATATAGTATCTAATTGTCTTTGTTTTATATCCTCATTGTAATACGATTCACTCACTTTCTTTTCGTTATTGTACTCCTATCTTACTTTCTGTAGTTCTGTCATTGCCATTAATCCAATTTTTCTTGATTTTACAACTAAGATGTTCGCTATTCATTATTGCGTTATTCTAGGTAGTTCAGGTTTTAGTTTGTACTAAAATCTCCCACTTTCTTCTTCTTCACTAGATATTATTATTAATAATAGAAAACATCGACAATTTTGTGAATAATTTTTTTTTTTAATTTCGAATTTCGATCACCGTTAAATTTGGAAGGTCTGCAACTATACGACTAATAGGTTCCTTAAGCAAAGCTTATAATGCACTTCAAAGGGAGGTCCAGAAATACGTCAAGATCCTCAAAAAAGAAAGTCCCTAAAGTGTGTGCCGGACAGAAGCAAAGTATGTGGGAGGCACTTTTTTTGTCCTCACCACAACTGCGGCAGATATGGTTAAAAGAGAAATTTAGTCTCCAAGCATGGTTACCTAGAATACAATGACCTGTAAGTTAATGCACTGCAAGACTGATATCTCTACGGTGCATCTCTATGAGAGAGTTTGATTTTCTTCTATTGGTATGTGGCGAAATTGCATACAGATGCCTGCATATCGTAGAGTCTTCCCACCTTTAACTAAAAAGTTCAGCACATGAAGAACTCAATACAATTTTGCATGATGTCAACGATATGCTCAAATTGTTTAGGTGTTCCGAGTGGTTTCCTGAAGCACCCCATCTAGCTAGCCCGTCTGCTTTGCAATTGCCGAAAATATCCATATGACTAGGAACTCAGATTAGAGAGATATTGAACTGCGTCGACATCTCATTTAGAGATGTTAAAGACTGTCCTAGATGTACCTAAATTGAACTGAACTTAAGAACTTTAAAGCAGCTTGACTATCCGATAGTATATATATATTCCATTCAAGTATGTTATCTACTTCTTGACAATCTAAATCCTTCAAGTTACTTAATAAAAAACTTTCAAAAATATTATAATAATATAAGTAACTTCTGTTATAATTTTCAAGATTTATTTCATTTAATTTTTATTTTTTTTTATTTTGTGAAGCCGTCCTTCAGTGCAAAATCTTAAATATATTTTGCTAAAACTGTCAACTGACAGTTTTCATTGTCGTTTTCTTTATCTGATGTCACCAATTGTTAGTTAGTTTTTTGTGGCTGTCATGTAGCTTGTTGTTTTCTGTCAATATTAGTGGCAACAGTTCTTTATATTATAAGAATTTAAAATATAATGAATTTATTATTTTATTTTAATATCCCTCCCAAACAAGGCATGCATAAAAATTACTTTATATGTGATTTTGAAATTTATATCCACTTTTCGATACTAAATCTTCTCCCAAAATAATCCTTAACATCCTTAACTAAATTAAATAAGTCCAATATTAAAATTGTTATCAACTTCAGAGAAATGAATCTGATATATCAAAAGCTTAATTACGCACTTATTTTTTATTGTATTTTCTTTTAAAACTCCTATTAAATGAAATTACAAAATAAAAATGTATTTACTCATGTGCTTGATATTTATTTGTATCCATATTTGCTAATACAAGCACATATACATTACAAGTATATTACAGAAACTAGTGTTGTTCATATTATTCATATATTTTAAAAGCCGGATTTATGTGATTAATCGGATGAGAAAAGAACTCCGCAGTTGAGAAAAAATCTAAATTTTTGTGAATTTGAAGTCTTCGAATATTCGGATTTGAATTTATTATACACAGTGCAGCTATTCGAGGACTTCCTGAGCGAATGTTAGAGAGCACACAAAGCTAATGAATGAGGATCGCACAAATGAGCACAAATTTATTTATTTTAGCAAATAAAATATAGCTCTTAGGCATCCGATAACGGTCGTATCTAATATCCTATAACAAAAATGTATTTTTCTTTTGGGGTAAAACCGCTAAAACGTGTGTCCAATACTATTGGCATTGTTTTTCTATCGAACAAGAAATGAAATTAATATCAATGCATGGAATGAATGGAATCATCTGATCTGACCATGTTAGATACATTGCTTTTATGTAATTTCTGTTAGCTAACTTAACTATTGACAGATAAGTGTTTAATATGGTCAAAGCCACAAAGCTTTTGCATTTGATATAAAGTAGTACTAGGCTTGCAATATTTTCCATCTTATTTGATATTTATAGCTCACTCATATACTGCTATATTCTTGTGCCGACTATTATACCGCTTGTAGAGAATAATTTAAATCTTTTACTTTTCAATTATTAACTGTACGTAAAAACAACATTTATTGGCATTATAAATTCTTTACTACGTCTCACGATTCACTTAGTCCTTATATCTTGTTTCCACTGCATACTCAAGTGAGTTATTTGAGTAACTTTAAGATTTCGTTGTTTCCACTGAGACAAGTTACTTGAGGCATGTTAAAGAGCTTTTATGAGTCAAAAAGTTCTATTGGGTTTAGTCATTTCAATTGTAGGCAGATGACATTGAATTTTGAATTGTTAGAAGAAAATAATTCCACATGGAAAACGCAGAAAATTTAAATAATTCAATGCATAATGTATGTGGTATTGTTCTTAATATGAATGCAGCAGCTGTTGCAAATTATTCAATTTTCAATTACTTTTATTTTAATTAATAATAACACTAATAACTTATAAATTAAAAATAAAAGGAACAAAGGAGAATCTACGTCCGTTACGACCCTTTCGTGCGGGTATCTTCTTTCCATTTTCTTCAAGATTAATCATTCTATCCACTCTCTCTAGTATCTTTTCATCAACCGTTTTTATTTTTTATCTATTATGTGACCATTATAAATAACTGATCCCCGCCCCTCAGTCCACATATTCCTGATTCTCTTGTTTTCTGTTATCCATTTTCAAACTTGATATCCAACTGAACTTTTTTGATTAAATAATTTATGCATTATATAATAATATCAAATATATATTTTATATATAAATTCATTTTTATGTATCAATTATATATTTTATTTATAATAAACAAATATTTTAAAAAATGCCTAACTCTTGTTTGTGTATGTTTACATACGAGTATTATTTCTTGTGTCAATTTTCACTTCAATTTCAAAGTTGCATTTGACATTTTTGGACTAATTTCGACTATATTTTCAAGTAAGTTAAATTTACTTAGCAATCTCAAGTAAGTTAACTAAACCAACGAAGCCAGTGGAAACGTACTATCAGCTTTTCATTATTGAAGTAACTATGGTACAAAAGCAGGAGATTAGAAGTATGCTCTATTTTTCATCAGAACTCGGCAATTTTTTTTTTAAACGAATCGAAATAGAAAATAGGTTCATTACATTTATTTTGCAAAAATACAAACCCATTTACATTTAAATAAACTCAAGTTATTTATTTAGCTAAATACTACTAAATAAAACTACTGCATGAAAGGTAAAGGCCAAAAACAGACTAAGAAATTCAGAAACCCATTCTCTTATAATCTCCTTTGACTGAGTAGAGAGGGTATCAAACACGCAGTCATTGTAATCTATTTATTTACGGTAAAAAAGCAATGATATGTTAGACTGACTTGAATGTTCACGGGACCGCATTACGGCGATCTGAGAAGTAAATCATAAGTATAGATGTGGTTTCAATGACACAAACAATTAAGTTAAAAGGGCATTTCTAGCAGCGATCTTTCAGCTCACCATACTCAAAAATCGTTTGAAAAATCCTTCGTATTCTGGCAGGGGTCCTTTGCAAGGCTGAAGGCTGAAGGCTGATTTCGGTCTTTCTAAAGACCAAACGAAAGATCTGCTATTTATCAGATTTGTTATAAAAATTTTGAAATGCGTATTTTTATATGTAACACAATATATGTATATGTTTCTTTTATATTTAAATTTTAATATTTATTTAACATTGATTTATTCATCTATGTATTTATTTATTTATAGATATTTAAAATATAATTTTGAAACTAATTAATTTTGTTTTGCCACTGCCATTTCTTTCATGACATGAGTTAAATTCATTACACAATAATTATATATAAATAATAATAATAATAATTATACATAAATAATAATAATAATAATTATATATAAATAATAATAATAATTAAATATATATCTTATGGCGTTCCATCACATTTGTATTAAAATTAAATTGTTTACTTGCATACGAAATAAATAGAACAAAACAGCTTTTTACCACGGATTACAAATGATAAAACTTTATTTGAAAGACTTTTGTGCCAGAATAGCAAAATTTTTACATACAGTCGTTCGGTCGATCTTACAATGATCTTACAAAAGACTTTTAACGGTCTTCTCCCTGTACATTCGTTTAATATACAGGAACATCAAATCATATCTTTTTTACCGTTTTTCATTTTCAATTTTGAACTTCGTCTAGTTTTCATTTCACTTCATATTTTAATATTCTAAAATAAAATTTAGTAAAATTTATTCACAAAAAAGCGTTTATTACGTATTAAAGAAAAATTCAATAGTTAAATTAATTTTTTTTTGCAAAATTCATGTCAATTATTTTGGCAAATAAAAAGATTACGCAATAGTCCAACTTACGCAACATGACGAGTACTGAAAAAACAACGGTAAGCAGTCCAAATGAAGAGGAAGAAGTTAAACCACGAAAAGGATTCGATCCTGAGTGGGTAGAAAAGAACTCCCAACCGAAACGTTGGTACTATCCGCGCGAAAAACGCGAATTAACGCCATGGCAGAAGCCGGGGCCCATGGAACGGCGTGATTGGGTGCGCTTTTATCATTGGGCTTCCAAAAACGCCATTCCACGTGAACTGGAAGAGCCGAAGGAAGAAGAACCAACAGAAGAAGAAATGAAGAAAAAAAAAAAGAAGAAAAAATCTTTAGATGAACTTTTAGAGTCCTTGGTGAAATTATGTATACCCAAGAATCCTCGCGAAAAATATGAGTATCCAGAAGAAGAAGATTTTCCTTACTCTCCAAAGATCGATCGTAAGCAACCAGCGCGAAAAGATAAAGGCCGACCTTTTGAGCCACCAGAAGTTCCTGAATGTTTTCAACATATTGATATTGAAATAGACTTTTGGTCTACATTACGATTTCCAGTTCGACCAAGCGCTCAAAATTATAAAGCGTCGCCAACCATTCTTAGGTTGGCACAACCACGTCAACCATACATATACAACTTGCATTGTCCACTGCCGGAACGAAAACGTGATGTTGTGCCTGTTCGCACGAAAATGACTAAACGCCAATGGGTCGAGCACATGCGCCGATTGGAATACTTAGCAAAACCACAATTCCATGCTGAGTTCGAAGAGAACATGTATTTGGACCCATGTGCATGCATGTGTAACTAGCATTTACTGCGATAAGGCTATTGAAAGTACCAAATTCAACATAATGTTTAATTGTTTAATCTCGGTGCTTACTCCTTTTGATAAATGATTCGTAAGTAGATCTTACGCGCGCAAATTCATTTGTTAAAAATTTGTATCCGCTACAAGTACGGTTTAAATTTTTCTGTACTCATTCAGCGTATCAAAATTAAAGTAAAAAAAAGTATAACTGTCCTTAATACTTTTGTGTTTTTACTTGTGAGTATTAGCAGCAACATGACCGAATCAAAGCAGCTTTACAGATTCTGCCAAACAAGCAAATCTACCTAAATGGATGGTATATTGGATGAAATAGATTGTCCTTAATGTGTTAACGAATTATGTAAAATAGTTAATGATTAAAGGTTTTCTTAATATATGTAAGTGCAAAAAAGTTATTACACACAAACACACCATTGGCATATAGTTAAAAATCAAGCGACCTATTTATACCTATTTATATAGTTATTCAAAAAATACCGGGAATCACTTAAGTTGTACTCAATCGCTTAATTATTTTTTACTGATTTTATTGTTCCTTTCAAAGCTTCGCTTATCAGTTTTAGGAACGATTAATTTTATATAAAACATAACATTGATTTATTCTCGAAGTAGTCAATTGAATATGAAAGAGGAAACAGTTTACATGTAAGTTTCTTCATCTTATGATCTGATATTGATATGAACTCTCTCTGAAACGAAAGAGGTGCTTATATACAATCACTTTAATATACTTTTATACTTTTTTAATATTTTCACGACAAATTTTTGATTATTATTAAACGTAATAAAACTATCAATGAAATATTTTAGCCAGCTCATCTTTTCCTCTTTCGACACTTAAAACTTATTTTGCAATATGATAAAGGCAAGTTATATGTCGGAAAAATAGTCCAAATAGTTTGGAAACGAATTTGGAATCTTATCGTGCTTGATTTATTAACTATTATATTCCGACTTCTGATTTCTACTTGTTTTAATTCGGGAGTAATACTTTGATTAATGACTGCGACCATAATTCCAGAAAAGAATTTCAACTGCTAATGGACATTATATAATTCTGTTTCAGTGGAGGTATGACACATACGAATGTTGTGGGCTTGGGGACTCTAGCACGCTGTTTGGCGAAAAACATTGTTCTGTTTTTTGAGATTTTAAGGATCAAATCCCATTTAGCTTATTTTTTTAAATAGTAAGTTTTTTCTTGGACAAATTCATACAAATAAGTCTAGAAACCTCTATATCGTCAACTAAT